CGGTCATTGTCACTGTAGCAATTATCGAATTTTTTCGATGAACTATTTTCTTTTCTTTTTTTATAGTTTTTCTGAATTAAAGTTATTATATTCTGCTTGATGAACGGATGTCATAACTGCTGTTTAAGAACGGAAAGAAAAAAGGACATTATATTACAATAAAAGATTAAATCTAAATATGACCTTAAAGTTATTATGTCTTCATAGACAACATTAACAAGTGACATGTTAAACATTTTATACTACTTTTTTTAATCGTTCAATACATATACATTCAAAATATTTTGTCTTACTATTTATCAACTATTGTATTAATTCAACGAACACATTCCAAACATATTATTCGGATTTAAAAATAGTTCAATAGAAATAATAATTAATAGACAAATAAATATACATACAAACTTCATTGAACAAAATAAATCATGAATAAAATATAGATGACTCTTATATAAAATATACTCTATCAAAAGTGTCAAAAAAAAACGAAGAGAAAAAAAAAAATATTGAATCAATAAATCATATAATGTAATCAGACTATCATCATATACTTTTGTATCTCATCATTAGTTTTTGAAAGAAGACGACAATGTGTAGTGTTATATTATCTTCTAACTGGTTAACAATTGAGAAAGAATTTGATAGAACAATTTATTCAATCATTTAATATAAAATACGATATAAGAATTCTAATCATAAAAATTGATTTCATTATTTCTATATTACAATAGAAAATAGAACAAAAACTAGAAATGTCAAAATTGAAAAATATTTCTTTTTGTTTTTTTATTAGAAAAATATAACTGTTGAAATTCAAGTACATATAAAGAATAGTTAAATTAATTAAAATAAAAGATTATATTTACCTAATTTATATAAAAGTGAAATAGATTTCATCATCAGTGAGAAACAAAAAAGAAGATGTTGTACTATAATACTTACCTTAGAAACTTACTCTATTTTTTGACATTGTTCCCATAAAGTAATTCAACAAATCACATGAGAAGAATAAAAAGAAAAAAAACGGTTTGATTCGCGCGTATAGTGACGTTGTCGATTGTATGTATGTATGTATCATATATACAGAAAACAAAACATTACGGAAGATGATGTAAAGCTGACAAACCATTACACGATTATCAGAGCACATAAACTAATACGGTTCGTTTCCTATACAGACGCATAATCTTAATTAGATATGTATATGTATGTGTATGTATGTTTTGTGAACAAGATAAGAGATAAAAAAAAAAAAACAAAGTCGCACGCCATAGCTATCATCACTCACATCTATTTACTAGTTAACTGATTAGCAACAAAAAAAAACCTAAAAAACACCACTATCAGTTTAGTTCAAAGTATCCGCTAAGTAGTCACTTTATTTCTTTTCTTCTTAGACTGATTCATTTTTCCGTTTACCTACGTGTAACAATAATAATAGTAAGCAGTAAGAGTCTGTCGTCTCGATTGACCAATTTTGAGAGTATGTTCAAATAACATACACAATCAAAACGTTTCGTTGTGGTTTAATCGTTAATATATGGCGCAATTTGTATGAAGGAGAACGAATGAACAATCAATTTCGAACTATCATCTATTGACAAGCGCGAGAGAGAACGACCAATTCTTCTTCGTTTTAGGGACCAACACACTTTCTATCTAGCCGCGAGACATTTGATAATGTGAATGAATGAACGTGAGAGTATGTATATATATGTATACTTTTAACGTTTCTTTCTTTCATTATTCTTGATTTTGATCAATTTAGAAAAGGAAAATAATACATAATAGAAAACAATCATTTTAAACCTAACAAATTTCAGTTATGATCAATAGTTAATCGAGCATTATTTATTGTATTTAAGAGGAAAAAAAGAATACCAATTCTATTCATAAGAGTAAATTAACCTTCATCTCATTTATATTCTCAAATAAAAAAAAAGAAAAAAAGAATAAACTGTTGACATCATATTGCGAAATTTCTTTCATCGATCTTCTATTCTTCACATGATGGATCAGTTTGTCTGTGTTCGATGTCTACTATCATCACACGCACATGCATGTGTTCACTTATTGACCGGACATGTATATATATTTATATATATATAACGCCTGTCAAAAGGTTAAAATCTACTTCCCTCAAACATCATTATTGACTGAAAGAAAAAAAGAAAGTCATGTATGTAATAACTTTGAAAAATATTTCATCTAATCTAATCATCATTGAATTCTATCAGTAACAGCAATTGTTGACCTTACAGATGAACGTATGTCGAAGTACTATCAAACTTCTTTATCCATTAAATTAACATTTGTCTTTGTCTACTCTCTTGTCAATCAATCGAATAAGAGAATTCGATACTAGATATATATATATGTATGCTGAGGTTTATTAATTCAGATCCTATCATAGCTTCCGATTCCATAGATGGATAATACTATGTATACAATCTATTTATTGATGTTCATTGTAAAGTGAAAGTAACATTTCACTAAAAGGATCATGAAACGACAGAAAAAAATAAATAAATCGAGACATTTTGAATTTTTGTTATTTCAATGTGATTATCATAAATTTTTCATCATATTCACTTTGTTTTTTTATAATAAATATGTTTGTTGATCTTTTGCTATCAATCAGTGTTTAAAATACAATCTGCTGGTTGAATTCAGAGTGTTTTTTTAATTTAATATTATTCATGTTTATATTTTTATAATCAATTGTTTTCCATAGATAGTGTATCATGCACATCGAGTAATCCTATGAGAACATATGAATAAATATACATTGTGTTTAGTTTTGGATTTTTTTTTATTGCAATAAATATTACTCATGAATTTAAAATATTTATTGAATTGATTTTCTTTATAAATAAAATGTTATGTTTACGTTAATTTAATGATTCTTAATTTTTGCCATTAAATTATCTAATTGTAATAAGATTTCTCAATAGTCTTGAATGTGTTTTTTTTGTTTCGTGATAATATATAATGTGTTATACTATTTCTTTAGTTAATTAGAATGAAAAATGTTTTAGAATGAAGCATATTTTACACCAACAACACCTGTCAAACAAGAATGCTAATCAATGTAAAGTAACAAAGAGTTCGTAGTGATGAATATTAATAATAGAAGCAAAAGAACTCATTAACATTTCTATATCTACATATCAACAATGTGCATAATTTTTGTGTTTAATTCAATTAGTTTCAAATAAAGATTTTCTTAATACAATACTGAACAACAGTTTTTGAACGTTTATGTTTTAAGTATCATTTTCTTATAAAGCGTCTGATGCTGTAAGTTTTTCATAAAACGATCTTTTGAAATCGAAAAAGTTTTTTTCTGGGAAACTTTAAATCATCTGCGATTTTATGCAGTATGAGACATTCTTATGAATATAATACTTGGAAAGAAAAATTACCCATAATATAAAAATGATAAAGAGTTCAGATGAAGTTTATCATAAAATAAGCATTGCACTTCATAGACATCTTGTTTTTAGAAATTTTTCCTTATGAAAATGTAGGTTGCATTTTTCTCTTTCGATTTATATGGTTTCAACTGTTTTGAACAATTGTGCAAACAAAAAAAAAAGTAATAATAACTTAAGTTAAAAGATATGCAAAAAAAAGATTTGTTGAAGAAAGAATCAATTATTTCAAATTGTTATAAGTTCAGGTTCATTATGATTAAGAAATTTTCTGTGGACATAGTATAAACACTGACTAAATTTCTGAAGTAAACTGTACATTAAAAGTCAACTTTATGAAAATATTATACTTAAGACAAAATCGTCCTAAAGATATGGATAAGATAATGGAAAGAAAATTGAATGGAAAATTTTTGATCTGATATTGGACTGATTAATCAATTTCATGATCGTAAAAGTATCTCAAAAGTATTGGTCAAAATGATCATAGGCTCAATACTGAAAAAACTACTCATTCTTCTGATCGTCTCTCAACTTTAATCGATTTTTGAACATTGAATACTTTAATAAGCATATTAACATTTCAGATATTCATAGATTTAACAGATTTTTATATAAACAAAAATTTTATGTTCAAAATTCTTTTGTTCAAGTTTGCTACTGAAATTCCATTGTATCATTGGAATCTAGCAAAACTATTAATGATTCTCTAGATAAAGATAATGTTTTAGAATTCTTCAGGATCTATTCTAATCAATAGATCCTCTCTATTTGTTAATCCAATATTTTACTCGACAATTTCCTTCTAACAAGAATACTTTTGTTTTTTTGATATTTAAACTCTATAAAGCTAAATACAATTCATTTTGAATTTATCTACAAATAATCATTGGATAATATTATCATTCACAAAATTAATATTTGCTTTTTTTTTAGAATCTAAAGAAAATTTCGAAACTATTACGTCGATACAAAGGTAAATTCAGCATAAGTACATATTCTAATGATTCAGACTAATGAGAAAATCCTAGTCAATTCTATAACTTCTAAGGTAAAGATGAAGCCAATTTGACTATGAGGATAATATTATAAACATGTTTTCAAGGACTTTGTTTAAATGAAAAACATTAATCTTCATAAAATATTCTTCCGCCTACTGATGTATCTCAACACCTTGAAAATAATTTGTGATAAATTATATAGCTGTTGATAGATCAGACATTGACCTTGTATTCATAGTTTATTTTTTCGATATTTTATTCAGCATGAAGACGATGTTCTTTATTTTTGTCATTCAAATCATTTATAGTTAGAACTGTATAGTGTACATTCTGATCTTTCAATTTTTGAAATTGCTACTCTTCTCAAAAAGTAAAAGAATCTTGTAAGAACACTGAAAATATAATGAATTCAATAGTAGAAAACAAATTTTGAAGTTAAATATTTCTTTGTATTTTTATATTTAGTCATGAAAGAACATGAATTACAAATATATTTATATATAAATATGATGATAAACAATATATTTTTTTTTTTTGGTTCATTTACCGGTAATATTGCTTTTTTTTATACTGTATCAAACGGATAACATTTTCGTGGACTACGTTTTATAATATGTTTGTAATATTCATGCTGTTGATAATCACCATACGGATATTCATTGTAGTTTCTTTTCAATAATGTTTTAAAACAAATTTTAGGCCAAAGAACACTTCTTATATCAATTCTATTATGTAATGCTAAATCATTATCAATAGTCGATTGATCTTCTATATCGATACGTTGATTTGTATAATAGCCATTAATTGTATTGATTATTATGAAAAATAATATAAGAAAGAATAATCTGTTGTTTAAAATAGGTGTCATATCGATAAGAGTCGAAGCGTAAAATGAAATGAAAAGTAACTTCTCCGTGTTCTCTGTTTTTTTTTTCTTTTCATTATTATTTATTTGGTTTCATTATATTCAAAATTAGTTTTCTTATATGTTTAAGATGCGTCAATGATAATCTCAAAAAAGAAAAAAGTAAGACTAGATTATTAATAAAAAGCCAAAAAACAGAGTGAAATCTTCTTCAAGTGTAGTTAACTTGTATGTAATGTAAAGGGGATATTGGTTTTTTTTGGAGGCTTCAATGGAATTAAGGACATAGAGTTTATCAAAAATTTTGTCAGAATTTTATAACACATATAAAAATGACGAGATATTTTTAAATTTATTTTATTAGTTGTTCAAAGTAGTTATTACTTTGATGATTAAAAAACTTCATATGATCAATCAGTGAAACTACATTCAATATCATTACTTAAGTCTTTCGCTAAAAACTCGATCTTACTTGAAGTACAGTAATGGAGAGACTGTGATAAAATTTTCAGTCTCATACCATGATATTTTCGTGAGATCTTTAACAAACAAGGGTGAAAAATAGCTCATTCGATGACTGAAAATTTTCTTTGACTGTTGATTTTATATACTTGGTTATTTTCCTGTTTGAAAGAACGCATCAGGATTAAGAGATGTCAGAGCCATTTTTAATATTTTTACTGTTTATGGGGGAGATCAAGATCAAGATGAAAATCTCAATGCCTCGTAAGAAATTCAACAAATGACGTTCTAATTTATTAAAACATTCTTTTACATAAAAAGTTACAAAGCTTAATTCCGAAAAACGACTCTATCGTATTCTACAGCTCGACATGCTCTTACAAAAAAAAAAAGAAATGTCATTAGCCACAATGGAATTCCTTCGAGAATTCTGGCATTTGTGATCGAAAAAACGTGAATACAGGAAAAGTGAAAAATATTTTCCATTTGGTTTGAAGAAAACCTATCGTTTATCAATGATCAGACCTCAGACATCCTCCATGTATTTACCTGAATTTTTGTATTTGTCACGAAAATTGAACTTTTTGAGAGAGTCTTAATAATAAACTATAGTGTCAACTCTGATAAATATATAATGTTATTCAAGGATGATTTAATTCAGCTAACATTAGTTGAATGTGTGTATCGTAAATTCATGCCTCATAGTTGATAATAATATTTCATAATTGTCAGCATTCATCATGAAATATAACTGAATGTTCATAACAAATTTTAGCATAGTGTTATTGGTATCAAGCATTGAGATGATGAGCGATCTAATACTATGTGACTTTTCTCATCTTTAAATTATTATAAATAACGCATTCCATTGCAAAATAAATGAGACAATTCATGTGATGAATCTGATCCGTTTTGGCCAGTTAAATATTTTTATCAATAGTTTTTTACGGATAAAACTGGTCGCTTCTGCTTGATATCGAACCCAGAGAAATAGTAGTTTCGTTAGAAAATTTTTGAGTTTTTACAACTTTCCGTATACTAGATATTGACGACACACAAAATCTACCTAAAACATCAACATAGCATAAAAATGTTTCCTACGACCACTCAGAAATACAGGATACATTGAAGATAGCTATTCACATGGCCATCAAATTTTTGTTTGTCTTGAATATCATCCTAAAGTTGTATCAGTAGCAATCTTTAAAAATGTAATTTATATGCTGAACTATCCTACCAGATATATTTTAATATATATGAAAAAAAAAACAAATCGTTAAAACTGATTCAGTATTGAGAATATAAGAAGTCTCAACTGAACCAAATCTAAAATAGATTTATTCTACGTATCATTATGAATGAAGAATTGTAGTATTTATTCATGCAATAAACTCATTAATGTTAACTAATTTATTAGAACTGCGTGTAACATTGTCAAAACTTTTAGTCAGACCTATGAAGTTCAGTTAGTATAATATTAGAACATTCTAGAAGTAAAATGTAATAGATAATATCAATTTAGAAATAGAAAATAGGTGAATTATGTATCTTAATATTTCTGCTGTAGTGAGAAGATATAAATACATTTTATTAATTAATTATAAATTGCACAGGACCTTTTATCCAACTGCTTGAAGATAAAATATTAACTGACAATCTGCAAAAGGATGCATGATTTACCTTTTTTTAAATTCTACTTTATTTTTCCAAAATTATATGAACACTAATACAAAAATAGAGATATTAATTATAAAACGGTTTATCAGCTATCAGAGTTAGAAGAAATAGCTTTGATGAAAATAAACGCTGAAACCACAAGGCTTTGGTAGGCTCATAGATTGCATGAACAAATGCTTAAGTAAGCTCATAGATGGCACAAATAAATGCTTGCATAGAAAAATTTTTTTTTTTTGTAATGAAAAGTTTTGATTTTTTTCGTAGTCTGGTTTTTTTAAGCAATTTTTTTTTTGTTATTTCATTAAAAGATTATAGCATTAGATAATTAGTATACATGTACAGAATCAAAATCTAACAAAAAAACCACTTTTCAACCTATTTTCCAAGCGGACTCGACTGAAAACTTGAGCGTAATTCTATACTCAAATCGTTCTGCTGTCCGTGTGATAAACATATTAATAAATTTTTTCTTATAAATAACTATTTTCAACAATCAATTATCGGTAATTAATCAAGAAGTTTCCTAAAACAATATTTATTTCTATATTCAATAGAAAGAACATCTAATAAATTAAATCTGTTGCTTTAGAAAAATATACTAAATCGAATAAAAATTAATGTAAATATTCATTATTTAGTACTTTTGTATTGAATTGCCATATGACTCCATAATTGTAAAACAAAAGAAAAACAACCACAAAGATAAGAATCAGAAAATGAAATCGAACAAAAAAAAAACAAGAAAAAAAAAAAGCAATTTTAACAACCGGTATGTAATTGAAGAGAAAAGAAACTCAATATATAAATATAGATTTATATTAAAACAACAAAAAAAGAATTATTTTTTTAATCTTGATCGTTGTTTATAATTGCCAAATAAAATTTTTCCAAACGCTTGTCGAAAATCAGGTGCAAATATTGTATAAATCACAGGATTTAACATACTATTCAAATAACCCAACCATGTTAAAACACTAATTATTTTTTCATTTATTGTTAAATGAAATATTCCACATACTGTTTCTTCAATAAAAAATGGTAACCAACATAATATAAAACAACCCATAACAACACCAAGAACTTTTGTTGCTTTACGTTCACGTTTAATATCAGTTTTTTTACGTGATAATGCTAAAGGAGATTTACCTATTGATGTATGATTTGTATCAGTTATAACAATATGTGTATGATGAAAATTTGGAGAACTTGATGGTGTAGAATTTGGTGTTGATAATGGATTATTAATTGTATTAATTGGTATTGGTAAATCATTTTGATATGTTGATGTTAATAATGGTCGTGTTTGTTGAATAGTATGATTTCTTTGATGATGATGATGATGATGTTGATTTTCAAAATTTTCTTTATATTTTTTTTTAATAAAACAAAATGGTGTTGTTTTTAAAGATTTTAATTGATAATCATTATGATAATTTGTTGATAATGAATATGTTGATAAATTATCAGGTTCAATATCATTTGGATGATGACTTATAGAATGGCTACGTTTTAAAAATTTTATATGATGAAATGGTGAATGTAATCTATCTATATGATGATTTGGTGTTGATGTTTGTGATGATGATAACATTTCATGTTGTTCATGAATTAACATAGGTGAAACAGGTTGATTTGTATTAAATGCTTTACGTCGAATACGAAATTTAGCTGCTTGAAAAATTTTCCAATAAATAATACACATACCAATAAGTGGAATATAAAAAGCTCCAACAGTTGAAATAATTGTATAAGTAACATTACCTATTATTTGACATTGACCAGCTAGACGACCTTGTTTGTTACGAAATATAGGGAATGAATGAGAGCTTGAAATAAGAATGGAAATCATCCATATAATACATATAAGAATAAGAACTCGACCAGGTGTTCGTTTTGTTGCATAGTCCACTGATTAATTGAAATAATAAAAAAAAAAAAAAAAAAAACAAATTTTATCGAAAAATCAATTCATTTTTTCAACATAGTACATATTAATGAAGAATTCATTAAATATGTTTCAAGAATGATTATTTTCAATCAAATTATGAAAATGATAGAATTCGATGTCCTCTTAGAAAAACTCGACATTTATCTTTTAACCATGCAACATTGAATCAATTCCAGAGACATGAATTAAAAAGCAAATATAGTCAATATTATCAAAGATATATATATATATATACTTGAATAACCTGTGAAAGTTTCTATAGTTTTATAAATTAATAACTCTAATTGATGATTTCACTGTTCAGCTCGAATGATTTTTTTCAACGGAAAACAAATCGATTTCTCTCTAAAAAAAAAAGGATCGAATTCAAGAAATAGAAAATACTATGACTGTGATGTTTAGTGATCAACTAGAATGTGTGTCAAATCGATTCTGAAAACGATTGTGTTTGGACAGATCCGACGTATTCTATAGTAAAAGTATGAACTATTCATAACTTGATTCTTATGAGACTTTCATCAAAATGTCTAAGAAATGTGTAGAATATAATAGTCCCTGGATACAAACAATCGGAACAAAAGTATTTCTTATCATTGGAACAATGCTCAAATGTGAATAAGAATATTTCATTGAGAACAATAAAAGTACGATTCTATTTTTAGACTAGAAATTTTTGCATTCTACGATCGACCATATCCGATTTTCATTTGTAACAAGAAAAATCGACTATCGTATTCGTCATTTGAAAATTGTATCATCTTGTTAGAGTTTTATGCGTAGTAAATGATCACAAGTTATTCATTGGTGAATACAATGAAGAGAATTTCACATAATCGAATTTACATTAATCAATATCTGAACTATGTCAATTGTCAAAATGTCGTCATGTCAAGAGATGCAACGTTGAAGACGATGA